AAAACGAAACAAGCCAACAGAGCTCAAACCTCAGTTTCAAATCTAGGTTTATTTCACAGCTGCTCCAGGGGAGGCAGCTTCTCCTGCTGCTCCTTCCAGTTGGTGACCCAGGATCCAGGCTCCCATCCTCCCGTGCGCCTCCCATTTTCAGCTCCTGGTCTCCCCAGCTGCCTTGGGAGGAAAAGTGAGGGTTAGCGGGGGCGGGGGTGGGGGGGTGGGGGGGTGGCAGGCATGATTTCAGAGGCCAGGCTCAGGAGTGGCTTCCACTGCTTTTGCCCAAACCCCACACATTGGTCACAACTTTGTCACACATCCCCATCTGCCTGGAGGGAGGCTGGGAACTGTCTTCCTGTGGTCACAGGGCGAGGGTGGTTCAGTCAACTCATTCCCCCTCTGCTCCCTCTCCCAGGTACTGTCGCTGTTGCCACCCTCCCCTCCTTTTAGGAATAAAACAGTTTCAGTGGAAATGTCAAGAGAAAGAAGAGGCAGGACTCAGCTTTTGAATTTCAAAATAGACTTCTGAAATGTATGGCTTGAGAGGAGAGTCTCTGGATTTCAAAAGCCTCAAAGTGGAAAGCTTGCCTGACTCTGGCATGAGGCCCATGCCCTACAAAATCCAGAGGTTCAAAGGAATCAGGATGAGCTGGATCAGTCTGTCACCCCCACCCAGGAGAGACGAATGCACTGGGGGCAGAGGGGAGAGCAGGCAGCTGGAGAGAACAGTCACACCAGAGCCTGGTGTGGGTCTCTGGAGGATCCCTGTCTCCTGTGTCCCCCTGGATGGAGCCTCGGGGAGGAGAGAGAGACACAGAGTTCTGGATCCCAGTGACATCTGGGAGGGGAGGAGATCTGCCCTCTGGAGGCCCTGGGGGCTACCGCTGTGCACTGTCTGCCCTCCAGCCACGTGCAGGAGCACAGGATGCTCCAGTGTCTTCTCCTCAGGGGCTGGAGTCAACAATTCAGAGTCCCAAGGCTTCAGAGCCTGCAGGAGCAGCCAAGGTTTCCTTCGCCCTTGACAGAGGCAATCCGGGTGGATCAAGGACTCGGAATCAGATAGACGAGCTCAGGGGAGGCTGGCTGGGATTGATAGTGACAGTCAGACTGGACCCAGAGGAAGATACCTGAGCAAGTACCAGCAGGACAACAACAAAGACCAAAGCCCCGATGCCGCAATACCACAAAGGCTCAGGAATTTACGCCCCCATTGGAACGCAGGACTGAGATACCAAAGTTCTGTTTCTGAGAATAGAAAGTTAAGCCCTTCTGTTCCCTCTTCCCTATGAGATCGGTTCCTGCCCAAACTAAAACACTCTCAATGGTCCTCAAAGACAGGATGCAGCACTGAAAGGGTTGTGGGGGAATAGGAGCCCTCTGCCCTGGCCATCCTGCCTGACCTTGAGATGGTGTATTCATCTCTCTGGTTCTCCTCTGCAAGATGAGATGTAATCCAACTCACTTCATGGGTGTGTGGTGGGAGTGAAATGCAAAAAACACCTAGTTCAGGGGCTAGCACCCATCAGGGACTCGGCAAATATCCAAACCCTCCCTGCCCTTCCTTTCTGAGATCATTGCCAATATTGAAACACCATAATTCTTTGCAGGAAGCATGGGTAGGTACATGGGGCTATGTATAGCAGTCCTGGAAAATAAAATAAAATAAAGCTTTCCTCCACTCTGTGAGGAAGCAATAAAACCTAGCACAAGGCACAAAACAGACAATGAAAACACGATTTAAGAGCAGGGTAGGGGCTGGGGGCAGGGTGAGGGCGGCGACGGCACTAAATGAAAAACAACAACTCAATACCCTGCTATCATCCTTCATCAAACTACAGAAATAGAAACCAGACAAACACATTATGTGAAGGGCAGAAGGGTTGGCAGGGTCCTGGCCTATAGAAAAAACCCAGGTTCAATAATATCGCGAGCAGAGGGAGGTAGGGAAGGGAGGTCAAAGTCAATAGTGGGGTTTGCGACCAAAGGCTGGTTTTACAGTCCTAATGAGGCTTAAACATCACACGGCCCTTTTTTGCTGAATTCACTTTCTCATTAGGCTCTATCTGCTCCCAGATCAGCTAGCCACATGGCAGGATTGCTCCCACTTCCTCCAGCCCACGAATTATCAAGGGTATTCTCCGCCTTTCTTTTTTGGGAAAAGAAAGCTTTGGCTTAGGAAAAAAAAATGGTCTCTTCTATTTATAGCCGCTCTTCTCTCTCTGATTAGAGGGAGGATCGATTCTGGGGATGGACCAGGGCTCTGTGTGCTGTCGGTCTAGAGGATGACATGGTTAAAGTGGCCTTCTAAGTTGTTGGCTCTGCTCTAGGGCTCTATCTGTCCTGGGGCAGGATGGTGGTGGGGGCATAGTTCAGTCCTGAAGCTGTTTTTTGATATCTTCAGGATTGTTGGAAGTGCCACATTTTGTAACAAGCTCTCTGCTAGGTGCTAGGGACACAGAAATCAAGGAGATTGAGACAGTGTTCATGATCTCCTTAGAGCTTATGAATAAAGTGATTTATACCGCCAGCTTGTCAAAGGCTGTTGTTAGCCAGAGTCCTGGGTTAACTAATTGGCATTTGAAAGGATCTTACCTGAGATCCAGTATGTCCTGTGGGTCTTGAACTGTCCTGCAGCTGGTTGTGCTAGTCCCCTTTCTAGATGGGTTGCTAACTTAGTTCACTGTTTCCGGTTTATTTGAAGACCCAAGCTCTTGGTCCTGACTCTGATCCTGGTCTTTTGACTAAACCCAGAGCTGCCGCCTCTTTATTACAGTTTTTTTCCTAACAGCCGAGCCCACAGCGCTGAGCTTCCCTTAAAAAAAGGAGGACCTAAGAATTTGTATGCTTTTTTTTTTTTTTAATATAAGTTTTTTAGAGGCTGGGGTTGTGGCTCAGTGGTAGAGTGCTTGCCTAGCATGTGAAAGGTCCTAAGTTCGATCCTCAGCACCACATAAAAGTAAATACATAAAATAAAGGTATTGTGTCCAACTACAACTAAAAAATAAACTACAACTAAAAAATTTGGGGGGGCTGGGGATGTGGCTCAAGTGGTAGCACGCTCGCCTGGCATGCATGCGGCCTGGGTTCGATCCTCAGCACCACATACAAATAAAGATGTTGTGTCCGCAGAAAACTAAAAAAAAAATAATAAATAAATATTAACATTCTCTCTCTCTCTCTCTTAAAAAAGTATAATTTTTTTAGGTGAAGGTGGACACAATACCTTTATTTTATTTATTTACTTTTATGTGGTGCTGAGGATTGAACCCAATGCCTCACACAGGCCAGGTGGGTGCTCCACAGCTGAGCCACAACCCCAGCCCTGGTATGCCTTTTATCAGAAACCATATCCTGAGAAACTCCTCCTCATTTTTAAAGACTCAGGTGGAATGTAACATTCTGGGTGAAACCTGTTCTGTGTGCCCCAGGCAGAGAGTAACATGTATCTTTATAGCTCTCAGCACATCTAATAATCATATTAATAAGGGTAACAAATGTAGTAGTGGTGGTACAAAGGTCCATGTGTCCACTTACTGAGCGTGTCTGTGAACCAGGTGTCATGCTACGTGCTTTACATGCATTATTCAATGCTCAAAGAACCCCAGGGGCGACACCCTTATTATCCTCCATTTATAGATTATATCAGTTAGGAGTTGAGTTCAGCTGCATGTTGAAACCTGTCCAGAGTGGCTTAACCAAATGGTGAACTTATTTTTTTCAAATAACAATAAATTACACAGGCCTGGGTGGGCCTGGGGACTCCTTAGTACCGTTCTTAACGCTTGGCTTTGCTGTTGTGGAGACAAGGTGTCTGCGGCTTCCTGATCTGTGCTCTAGGGAGGAGGAAGGGTGAAGGACAAAGGGCGAGGAGCCTTTTCTTCTTGTGGCATTGTCTTATTAGGTGGGAAGGAATACCCCCTTCCTACATCTCAGTGGCCACACTGTGTTCTGGGGCTACCCTTAGCTGCCAGGGAGCCTAGGAGTTCTTTTTTCTGTTAGAGCAGACTGGCTCTGTTAGTAAGAATAAGTGAATGCTGTTGGGTTGGCAACCACCTCACAAATGAAGAAACTGGGTCTCAGAGCTGCTAAGGTTCTTGTCTGGGTCAGATATCTAGCAGTAAGACTCAAATCCATGCCTGACACCAGAGTCCCTGTTCAGAGTCACCACAATTGTTATTTTCATTTGTTCAACTCTTCCTCCCTAGATGACGTACTGTTGATATAAAAAATACATTTTATTCACCTTGGTATTCCTGATACTTGCTTGTAATTTGTTAAAAGGATAAATGAACAAATCTTAGCCTTGTCATAGTCTCTGCAACTAAAAGTTCTTTCTTTTTAAAATATATTTTAATTTTTAGTTGTACACAATACTTTTATTTTGTTTATTTATTTTTATGCGTGCTGAGGATTGAACCCGGGGCCTCGAACATGCTAGGTGAGTGCTCTACCGCTGAGCCACAACCCCAGGCCCCTAAAAATTCTTTCTAGGAAAATATTCTTTAATGTCCTTTTCCTCTATAATATTTAATAACTACTTGTTTTCAAATAAGTAGCTGCAGACATATATAAAAGAAATGATCTTGTCTTTGTGCTGCTGGGCACATTCCTACTGTTCGTAGGCTTCTGTTCTGTTTCATGCTTGTTTACAGAGCATGGTCCAATTTCTCTTTGTTTTGCCAGGTCATTCAAACATTCCTATACTGCATTGCTCTATTTCTTAGGGACTTGAGCGCTACTTGAATAACAATAATTTGAGTCACAGGCAGCTTAGATCCCAAATCTCATTTCTTGCTTGGTCATGGGGCAGCCCAGAAGGACCTAACATCGTTTAATTTTCAGTATTTTGGCAAGGCAGGTTGGGAGGGGAGAAGAATTCTTAAGATACCAGTTCAGTAAGTAAATTTTTCATAAAACCAACTGCTGAAGTGCCCAGATTTAAAAAAAAAAAAAAGAAAGGAAGAAAGAAAAAATAAATAAAAAGAAAGCAGTTTTGTTCCCTAGGCCACTAAGTAACACCTTTTTTTTTATTATTATTATCGACACATGACATTACAATGATCTTGGCAATTCATACATTTGTATCATTGGGGTATAATTTCTCATTTTCTAATTGTACAGATTGCAGAATCACACTGGTCATAGAGTCACCTATATACATACATCAATCATAATGTCTGCTAAGTAACATCTTGATTTTCCTTGGAAGCCAGGATGCTTGGTTGACAGGATCAGGCTCCATCTGTGTAGGGTACTGCCAACTGGGACCCTTGACTTAGGATGGAGTTAATACACCTCAACAATGAGCTTGCAGGCACTTGGTCTTCCACCTTGGTGATGTTAAGAGATGCCTGGGTGTCTCTTTCCAGCCACTAATCAAATTAGAAGATAAATATTTATTGCTTACTGAGCAGTTAGCATGTTATGCAGTTTAAGTGCTTCATTTGATCTCATTTAATGCTTAGAACAACATCGTGCCTATTGTTATTGTCATCTAACAAATGAGGAATATAAATCTGAGTGAAATTAAATAATTTGCTTAACACATTGGTTACACCAAAGGGTGACTTGGGGAGTTTATTCCTTTGAATATTTAGTAGCCCTACTCAAGCCACCTTATATAAAAAGAAAACTCAACAATAGTGATAATGACATTCTTTGATCTTGACAATGCATTTTGCTCACTGTCACTTAAAATGTGAATAAAATGATAATGCTAATAATAGTACCTAACACTTAACGAGTGCTTACCATAGGCCATTCTTTTTTTTTAAAAAAATTTTAGTTATAGGTGGACGTAATACCTTTATTTTATGTATTTATTCTTATGTGGTGTTGAGGATCGAATCCAGTTCCTCACACATGCTAGGCAAGTGCTCCACCACTGAGCCACAACCCCAGCCCCATACCATAGGCCATTCTGACCAAAGCTCTTAATTCTTATAACAATCTTTTCAAGAAGGTGTTATTATTCCCCTAATTTTCATAAACTGAGGCATAGAGAGGTTAAGTAGCTTCCATATGGCATAATAATTTGTAATTGGCAGAACAAATATTGTATTACAGCCTAAGAATTAAATACCAAGTGCTGGCTAGGAAAACCCAGCTTCCAGGAAAGTCCTCCAGTCTTTTGCAACCAGTGTGCAGGCTTTTGCACACCTGTGTAAAGGAACCTTCAGTCACCACTGGGCCAATATTCCGGGCAATAGGTGGTAAAGCCTGGGTTCCCACCTGGGCTGGTCTGACTCCGAAGCAGAGATTTTTACTTCTGTCCTCTTCCAGCTCTAGCAGTCTAACAGGAAGTCCAAAGGACAAGTTACAGAGTGGCTGCAAAGGATCTTAAAAATCATTTAACCTAGGGTTTGTCAATCTCTGAACTACTGACATTCTAGGCTACATTGCTTCCTTGTGGGGATGTCCTGTGCATGCTAGGACATTGAGCAACTTTCCTGGCCTCTAATCCCTGGATGTCAACAACCCCCACACCACAAATGCAACAGTAAAAAATATATTCAGACATAGACAAATACGGGGATGGCGGAGTTGGAAAGGCACAAATCTGAATCTGGTTGAGAACAAATGATCTAAAGCATCTCATCATTTACCAGATATTGGAGTTGGGGGTCTTAAGAAATAAAGTAACTTTTTAAAGGTAATTAGCAAGGCCAAGACTAGAATCCAGGTCATTCATGCAACATCATCCCCAGCCTCCCGCATAATGTACAGGGTACAATATGGAAACCAGAGAAAGTTGAGGCAGTTATTGTCATATAGTCTGGTAGGAGAGAAACTCTACTGCACACACTGCACGAAGCTGATAAGCGATGAAATACTGCGCAGCCAGCAAGGTATAGAAAAGGAATGTGCTCTGGAATCTTGCCAATCGACTACATTTTTGCTGCAGGACTTAAGCTTTAGGTTCATCAATGAAATGGAGTTGATGGTCTGTAGCTCTATCAACAACCTCAAAACGGGTCTGTAAACGAACTGTGCAAACCGTAAAGCTCTTAAAACATAAGTGTTATTAAGATCATCAGGGATATGATAATAATTATCATTAGGGTAAAAGCTCTCAGAACTGGGTGTAGGGGAAGTGTCATTCCCAGACTTGAGATCCCCATTCCTGAGCGGGAGAGAAAGCAGGTAAAGACCCTCCCTACCCCCCACGCCTATCCCCGCCCGCAAAGTGCTCCTGCCCTCCCCAGGAACCTGGGCAACCAGATGGGTGAACTCAGGTCACACAACTCCGCACTAGTCCTGCAGGCGGGAGCGGCTCCCTGGCCCTCGGGCCTCTCAAGCTCCGCCTGCCCCTGGCTACGGCCCCGCCCCGCGAGGAGACGGATGCCGCCCCCTCGGCGCTGGCTGGCATTCCAGCCGCGCCGCGTGTCCTGGACAATCCCGGGCCAGCGCCGGAGATTCCCGAGCTTCCCCGATCTCTTCCCGGCCTCCCTCGGGCGGCGGGGACGGAGATTGCCGAGGGGCGCTGGCCCCGCCCCTCCGCGGGCTCGGCCGCCACCGCCCCCTCGCCACAGCCTCCCGCGCGGGCGAGTCCTACATCCCGGTCCCTCCCTCCTCCTTTCTCTCTCCCCGCCTTCCCGGTCCTGCCACAGTGGCGGGTCGGAGGATCCCGGCCAGTCAGCTCGTCCCAGCCTCGCGCCCCTCCTCCCCCAAATAAACAGCCCTCCCCACGCCTCGGGAGCCGGACCGCCCCCTTCCTCCCTCGGCGGCGTGTTGTGAGGGAGAGTGTGAGTGAGAGAGCGCGGGCCGGCGGCGGCCCCGGAGCGCGAGAGGCGGGGCGCGGCGGGCCGGCCGGGCGGCGCGTGTGCGTGCAGGAGCGCGAGCGAGTGCCCGTGGCGACCGCCAGCGGCCCCGCGCCGACAAGCCGGCGGGCGGGCGTGCGGGCGTGCGGGCGAGGGCGGCGGGCGCGAGCGGCGAGGGCGCCGGGCCCGCGCGCACGCACGCACGCACGCGGGGGGCGGGGCAGGCGCGCGCCCGCCTGTCGCGACAGTCGGGGCCGAGGCCCAGGGGGAGGTGGCCTGTCGCGGGTCGCCCGGCTCCCGGAGGCGAGGGGGGCGCGGGCGGATGGCGGAAGGCGCCCAGCCGCAGCAGCCGCCTCAGCTCGGGCCCGGCGCCGCTGCCCGGGGCATGAAGCGGGAGTCGGAGCTGGAGCTGCCGGTGCCCGGAGCGGGAGGAGACGGAGCCGAGCCTGGCCTGAGCAAGCGGCCGCGCACGGAGGAGGCGGCGGCCGACGGCGGCGGGATGCAGGTGACCGCGCGGGACCCGGCGCCCGGTTACCGCGGGGTGCGGGGCGGGGCCGGGAGGGGCGGCCGGGCGCCGCGGCGTGGAGAGGGCAGGGCGGCGGGGGTCCCGGCGGGAGGTGGGCAGGGAGGGCAGGCCGGGGCCTGGCTGGAAGCAGAGGCGAACACGGCTGGGGCGAGGGTTGCAGGAGGGTCCCGCTCCTGAGGGGTGAGGGGCGGCGCGGGGAACTCGCGGAGGCTCGGGCTGGAGTCCATTTCCTCAAACCCTTCCTTGGTTCCTCGGGAAATAGGGAGATCCAGGGTCTGTTGCCCAGGGGAGAGCAGCTGGGCCGCAGGACGAGGGGACCTGGTGGGAAGGCTCCCAAGGAGGAGCACCTTTGGGGTAGCCCTGGCCCTCGCTGGGATGGGGATGGGGCAGATATTGGAAGGAGAGGCGTGAAAAGCGAAATAGTGAAAAGCCCAAAAGGGATGTGGCTTAGGTTGTGGGTTAAATCAGTGACACGGGGAGTGTGTGAGAAGTACACGGAGTTTGATGGTGGTGTGGGACACCGTGGTGCTCAGTCTCTTTAAAATTTTGTGGCACATGCTAATGAGTCCGAACGGAGACATAGGATGTATCCCTCCTGTACTTTGCCAGTTGCATCCTGCACCGCTAGGACTCCGAATAGCTCTTTGATGCCTTGGGGTACAAAAGAAAATTTGTAGGGCTATTAGAAGACTGGATTCTGAGTTGTGGACTCAAGGGTAAACTGGCTGATTTGGGTAGGGAATGGGGCAGGTATTGATAATGTCAGTTGCTTTGTAGTTTGAGGAAAGGCTTGAAACCTTAGAGGTTTTGGGATTTGGTCTCTGTTCAGAGAATGCCGTGTTGTAAAATGGTGAGGCTCACCCAGCAGCAGTTGCTTATAGACATGTGCCTAACTCTTAGAATCATAGAATGTTAGAGATAGAAGGGACCAGGGACATCATCATCTTTTCCAGGGGTTCTTAATCTGGGTAGACTTGGAAGACTCTTATGCAGATTAGTTTATGTGCAGTGTTTGGTGGAGAATCAGTTATTTTCATCATTTTTTGGGGGTGGGTTTAAATCCCATCATGTTTTAATCACCTCATTGTATAGATGGGGAATCAAAAGTCCAGAGAAGACTAGTGACTTGCCTAAGGCTACCCAGTTAGCTGGTTGTAAAATTGGAGCTGGATCCTGGTCTTCTCATTCCTATTCTTGTGCTCTCTCCATTACACCACTCTTGGAAATCTCTGCAGTGCTAAAAGACTTCCTGTGCTCTGCTGCCTGCTTTTCAAGGCTTTGCCTGACTTCCTGTGTTAGAGATGGAGCCACACTTAAGCCTTGCATGTTTGTTGTGTGCCTCTTGGTCTCCTTTGCAGTGTCCACCCTGTTACTTCTGTTGGTTTTGGTAAAGTGACCCTCTTGGTGTTTATTTTTGGATTCTTTTTGCTTGTTTTTTTTTTGGCCTGCTTTTATTCTCCATGAGAACTCTCTCATGCGCCCTGGAAAAAATTAGAGTGCTACAAGGAGACTTTAGGAGAGGTGGGTTAACGTTGGGTGGAAAGAAGGGGAGACTGGAAGGAAGTGCTGGTGAGCATGTGCCATTTGGTGTGTGCATATATCTACATATGCACATAGGTATTCGTTTATTATTTATGTCAGTCATAGCTAATAACGAAATCATAGTTAATGACAAGACCCCTTTCTTTTCCCCCTTTCTGCCTGTGGCCTGTTACTTAATAGTTGCCTTCAAATTAGCTGAGGATAGTGATATTTGGAAGTAGAGCAGTGTATAGGAGCTGTGCAGAGGAAGGGGTATGTTAGGTCCGTTGGGTATAATTGGGCAACATAGAACATCCCATAGAGAATCTTTTTTCCCCCCTTTGTGTATTTATGAATGTTCTTCATTTTTTACTTCATACCTTCTCATTATTGTAGTTCCATGACACTATGTCACACAGGTCTTCAAATCATTGATTTAGCTCGATGCCTTTAACTAGCTTTATGGTTCTAGGGAAATCCCTGATTTGGGGGCTTCTGTTTTCTTAGTTGTAAAATAAATTTTCATATAAGGTCATTTCTAAGTTACCTTCTAAAAAATATAAGCTAAGTTCCTTTTTTTTTTTTTTTTTTAATGGTTCAGGGGATTGAACCAGAGGCCCCCACCATTGACTTACATCCCCAGTCCTTTTTCTGTTTTATTTTGGGACAAAGTCTCACCAAGTTGCTTAGGGTCTCACTAAGTTGCTGAGGCTGGCCTCAAACTTGGCAATTTTCCTGCTCTCAGCATCCCAAATCACTGGGATTATGGTGTGTGCCACCAGGCAGAGCGAAATTCTCTGTCATTAGGGTACATGTGATCTAGATGAAGAGATAAATGGTTAAAATGTTTTAAAAAAGTGTGTGTATGTATATTTAATATTAATTTAACTAATGTTTATTGAGCATCTGCTACACTCTTTTAAACCTAGGGGATATAGTAGTAAACAAAGAAAGACCTTGCTCTCATGGATCTAATATTCTAATGGGAAGTGGTGTCTAATAAAGATGACTATTGTTAGGTGGTAATAAGAATTAAGAAAACTTAAGCAGGGAAAGAAATAGAGAATGATGAAGATGGTAAAGGGGGACATCTCTGTAGGGCCCTTTGAATGAGGTAAGCAACCAGCCATTCAGGATGGGAGGAGGGACCTGGGGATGTAGTTCAGTGGTGAAGTGCCCCTGGCTCCATTCCCAGTACCAAACACAAAAGTTTGAGGGAAGAGTTCAGAAATGCTCATAAGCCCCATGTAAATATCCTCTGTAAGAAGCTTCATGTCATCAGTGTTTTTGTCTTAAAGAATGTGCTTTTTCTTATATCCTAGCACAGTGGAGTTTTTCTGAAGTCCTAGCTCCTTTCTCAATAAAGCCTTCCCTAACAGCTTGGTTCATACTTGTTAGGCCTTGCTTTTGCCTCCTGGTATGTTGACTCTTACTTATGCATTATCTTTTATTATCCCTAATGGCTTTATTCTTCTTATTTCCCTAGTAAGATTGTAAGCTCCCAAAAGACAGGAACTGTGTTTCCTTTGTGTTTGTCTTCCGTAATAACTTGACAGATTCTGGTACATGTAAGTGCTCAGTGCTTGTTAAATTGAAGCTTAAAAAAGAATCATGAAATTCTCGGGTGAGGGTACCATTGCAAAATCCCCCAATCCCTTTTAGTGCCAAAGGGATTAACTGCTTTTTACAGAAAAAAGTCATTTACTGGGGTTAGTTTTCCAAGGCTACTTGCTAACTGGAACTGCATCTGGCAGCTTCAGATTCCAAAGCTGAACTCTGTTGGGTTGCAGCCTCTGAGCTTTTGGAGTGAATCATTACTTCTCAAAGTGAAGCTCAAGGGACTCCAGAGGGTCCCTGATGCTTGTTTTATAATACTTAAGCTCCGAAGGAACCTTAGGGAGGAGAAGCAGTGTGGGTGCTTTCAAAGCAGTATACAGAATCTCTGTGCAGGTGGAAGAGGAGTTAGTGCATCCCTGGAAAGATAAATCTTGATATATATATATGTGTATGTGTGTGTGTGTGTGTGTGTGTGTGTATATATATATATATGTAGGTACTGGGGATTGAACTCAGGGGTGCTTAACCACTGAGCCACATCCCTAGCCCTTTTTTGTGTTTTATTTAGAGACAGGGTCTCACTGAGTTTCTTATGGCCTCCCTAAATTGCTCAGGCTGGCTTTGAACTTGCGATTCTCCTGTCTCAGCTTTCCAAGCCAGTAGGATTACAGGCGTGGGACACCTTGCCTGGCTCAGCCCCGGAAAGAGAGA